TATCCACAAGTTTTGGGATTTTGCAAATATTTACCACTGATTTGGCAGTGTCCGGCCTCTCCAAAGCATTTATTTCATTTTCTTAACAAATAAGATATTAATTAATATTATTAATGAAGCCATATCAGTTTAAAAATTAAAATTCCTTATTTCAAACTATACTAGGACCTAGTTCCTATTTAGGGCAGAGGATGAGCACTGTAAAGAAAGTGGGTGGATAATAAATAAAATTTTGAGCGTTCAGCTTTTGAAATACTTGGTCAAAACGTCAGATTGTAGAGCTAATTGTAGAGCTAAACGTAAAAGAGCTGTATTAAACATTCATTCAGTACCTTCATTCAGTCGTTCTTCAATGGCCAGTCCTGAGTCGTCAAAGTTTTCTCCAACGTTCACCACATCAATTTCGTTTTCGTCATTCTCATTCATCATACCATCGACCCCGAAAGGCAAGGAAGTTGTTGCCGGAGATCCACCCCAAATGTCTGTCAATAAATCGTAATTGTCCTGGACAATTTTTCCGCTACCACTGCGTGTGCCTTTGTTCACCGCCGCTCTATAATCTTGGCGAACGCTTTTAATTTTTTCTTTTATGCGGTCGTACCCTTTGCGTATTAATTTCTTTTCCTGATCTCGTTTACTTTTATATGCTTCATATTCTGCTTTGTTCATATCGCGTGGGTTTATCTGTTCACTCGAGGCTTGTGGACCAAACTCACATGGGTCTTCTGCTGCCATGCACGAACGAAGCTCCGTGTAAAGGCTCTGTAAGTCGGCTTCGAAGTCAATTCCGTTGAACTCGCATTGCGTCTTATATTCTTTTACATAGCGCAAAAGTTTTTCAACAAGTTCGGCCGACCAAGACCATTTTTTCGTTTTTTTTGCGGTCGACGATGAGGATGCGTCTGTATTTTGCTTCCGTTTCTCTGCTTTTCGCTTTGTTGTCGAAAGTGCATCATTCGGCGCATTCGCAGCGTTATCGACCAAAAGGAACTCTTCATTATTTACATGTACCTCTGGTACTACTTCCCTGGATTGCCTATCCGTTTTATTCTTCTGATGTCTTTTAAAATACTCGCCTGGTTGATAAGTATGATCTTGCGACGCCATCCTCGCCTGTCTGACAGTCACGGTAGAATGAATATAATAACTTGACCCGCTTGATAGGGTAACCCTACCTGACGCGTTTACATGGCTTATGTAAACAAAAAGATAGCCCTGCTGCTAGGGTCACCCTATCTGTTTGATAGGGTAACCCTACCCCTAGGGTAACCCTAGCGCGCATGTAAACGCTTCCTATAAAACATATTGAAGTAGGGTAACCCGCTTGCTAGGGTAACCCTCCTGATAGGGTCACCCTACCTCCATGTAAACAGGCCCTTAGCGATTTTAGTGTTTTTCTTCGTTTATTTACAAGAAAATGTATTGCGTCAGGTGCATATTTAATACCTGTTTACAAAACAAACATAAAACCAAGTAAAAAGTGTTAAATTAAACCGGCAATACTTGTTTGACATAATCCCGGTAAGAGGGCTGGCATGTTCATATGGAAAAATTTTCATCCCGCCTACCTATGATCTCGGCAAATTCAAACGAGATCTCGGCAAGCGGGCCAGCTCGCTTTCTCATGTGAACACAATTGCAAAATTTTATAGGAAAATAGATAGGCGGCAAGATCATCGCTAAGCGAGACGTCCCGGTAAGGGGGATCATATGAACAGGCCCTCAATCCCCTGAATACATTGAGGATACTGGATACATGTTTGAGTTTCTCATAGTTTATATGCCTCTGAGAATTTCCAGGCTCAAAATATTATACATAAAGAAACTTTTAAGGGGCGACATCCATATTCATGTTGCCACAAATAACATTGAATCAACATTATGAGTGGGTGGGTTTTTATGTGAACTTATCAACGTTATCTCATGGCAATTTGACAATTAATGTCCAAAGTATAACTATAAAGTCAAGATACAGCTGAATATTGATTGACATTATAATTTGATAATTGAAAAGGACATTGGTTTTCCAATTAGTTGTATGATTTGTAAGGGAGAATAACAACAGCTTCTGGTTCAGTTTCTGTGTAATTAGTGTTAAGGCCGAGATGGCACATCTCTTAGCCGCCCTGGACAAATGACTCGTTTGACACAGGTAACACTGTTATGCAGCAATTGTTCTTTCTTGAAGCTGAAAGTTTTAATAAACACTTCTTTCTCAGACTTGCATATATTTTTGGTGTAGATTTTTTATAATTTGATAATTCAAAAGGACATTGGTTTTCCAATTAGTTGTATGATTTGTAAGGGAGAATAACAACAGCTTCTGGTTCAGTTTCTGTGTAATTAGTGTTAAGGCCGAGATGGCACATCTCTTAGCCGCCCTGGACAAATGACTCATTTGACACAGGTAACACTGTTATGCAGCAATTGTTCTTTCTTGAAGTTAGAAGTTTTAATAAACCCTTCTTTCTCAGACTTACATATATTTTTGGTAGATTTTTTATAATTTGATAATTGAAAAGGACATTGGTTTTCCAATTAGTTGTATGATTTGTAAGGGAGAATAACAACAGCTTCTGGTTCAGTTTCTGTGTAATTAGTGTTAAGGCCGAGATGGCACATCTCTTTGCCGCCCTGGACAAATGACTCATTTGACACAGGTAACACTGTTATGCAGCAATTGTTCTTTCTTGAAATTAGAAGTTTTAATAAACCCTTCTTTCTCAGACTTACATGTATTTTTGGTGTAGATTTATTATAATTTGATAATTCAAATGGACATTGGTTTTCCAATTAGTTGTATGATTTGTAAGGGAGAATAACAACAGCTTCTGGTTCAGTTTCTGTGTAATTAGTGTTAAGGCCGAGATGGCACATCTCTTAGCCGCCCTGGACAAATGACTCATTTGACACTGTTATGCAGCAATTGTTCTTGAGGTTAGAAGTTTTAATAAACCCTTCTTTCTCAGACTTACATATATTTTTGGTAGATTTTTTATAATTTGATAATTGAAAAGGACATTGGTTTTCCAATTAGTTGTATGATTTGGAAGGGAGAATAACAACAGCTTCTGGTTCAGTTTCTGTGTAATTAGTGTTAAGGCCGAGATGGCACATCTCTTAGCCGCCCTGGACAAATGACTCATTTGACACAGGTAACACTGTTATGCAGCAATTGTTCTTTCTTGAAGTTAGAAGTTTTAATAAACCCTTCTTTCTCAGACTTACATATATTTTTGGTAGATTTTTTATAATTTGATAATTGAAAAGGACATTGGTTTTCCAATTAGTTGTATGATTTGTACTTGGGAGAATAACAACAGCTTCTGGTTCAGTTTCTGTGTAATTAGTGTTAAGGCCGAGATGGCACATCTCTTAGCCGTCTGGACAAATGACTCATTTGACTCAGGTAACACTGTTATGCAGCAATTGTTCTTTCTTGAAGTTGGATGTTTTAATATACCCTTTTTTCTCAGACTTACAGTACATATATTTTTGGTAGATTTTTTATAATTTGATAATTCAAAAGGACATTGGTTTTCCAATTAGTTGTATGATTTGTAAGGGAGAATAACAACAGCTTCTGGTTCAGTTTCTGTGTAATTAGTGTTAAGGCCGAGATGGCACATCTCTTTGCCGCCCTGGACAAATGACTCATTTGACACAGGTAACACTGTTATGCAGCAATTGTTCTTTCTTGAAGCTGAAAGTTTTAATAAACACTTCTTTGTCAGACTTACATGTATTTTTGGTGTAGATTTATTATAATTTGATAATTCAAATGGACATTGGTTTTCCAATTAGTTGTATGATTTGTAAGGGAGAATAACAACAGCTTCTGGTTCAGTTTCTGTGTAATTAGTGTTAAGGCCGAGATGGCACATCTCTTAGCCGCCATTAAGGTGGCATTGGCAAAACGTTGCTTTATCGCCATGGATTATCCCAGGGCTTATGAGAGCGACCAAGCACATAAGCCCTGGGTACGAGGTTGATTATCTCAGGGTTTACGAGAGCGACCAAGCACATAAGCCGTAGGTACGAGGTTGATTATCTCAGGGCTTACGAGAGCGACCAAGCACATAAGCCCTGGGTAAGAGGTTGATTATCTCAGGGCTTACGAGAGCGACCAAGCACATAAGCCCTGGGTAAGAGGTTGATTATCTCAGGGCTTACGAGAGCGACCAAACACATAAGCCCTGGGTACGAGGTTGATTATCTCAGGGCTTACGAGAGCGACCAAGCACATAAGCCCTGGGTAAGAGGTTGATTATCTCAGGGCTTACGAGAGCGACCAAGCACATAAGCCCTGGGTAAGAGGTTGATTATCTCAGGGCTTACGAGAGTGACCAAGCACATAAGCCCTGGGTAAGAGGTTGATTATCTCAGGGCTTACGAGAGCGACCAAACACATAAGCCCTGGGTAAGAGGTTGATTATCTCAGGGCTTACGAGAGCGACCAAGCACATAAGCCCTGGGTAAGAGGTTGATTATCTCAGGGCTTACGAGAGCGACCAAACACATAAGCCCTGGGTACGAGGTTAATTATCTCAGGGCTTACGAGAGCGACCAAGCACATAAGCCCTGGGTACGAGGTTGCTTGCTGCCAATATTGACAAAAATTGCGTAGTAATCGCCTCATGTCATGTCGTAGTAATCGCCTCATGACAAAATATTCAATAATCACTTGTGTAAAGTCGCGTATATCCTCTGTATAGGTGCGTAAAGAAATGCAAAAAGTTCTCCCAGGTTTTGCATTAAAGAAGTCTGTGGAAAGATTGAGAAAAGGTATTAAAAAAGTTCTACGGAAGGATGAACTGGCGAATAAAGATGTTGCTGACGCTGTTTCATTCATTGAAACGAAAACAATGAAAAAAAGGGGATCACTAATTAAGTTCAACGATGTAAGTATATTCAAATTACACTTGGTAGCTGAGTTAGAGATAGTTTCTATACACGTTTGTAAGGGCAGTGTGTGCAAAAAGTTTTTCCTTAAACTCTACCATTATGTATTCTCTTCGCTATAGCCATCGAGTAAGCCCAAGAATTTGTTTGAAGACAAGCGGTCCAGTTTAAACTGGTGGTACTCGGCACACCGGACGACGTTTTTCGAAAGCAGCACGGACCTGTTGGAAGCTTTAGTCGACGTCATTTCAAACTATTACGTCTTCCACATAAGTTACCCTGATCAAATGTCAGGTATCCTCTACTTCCTCCAGGATTTCGCGTTAGATGTATCAGACACCACACAGCGATCCATTAAATAGTTGCAATGCGATGTTCACCGACAGTGAACTTGAAGTTACAAGTCAATTACATTTTATTCCCTTCTATGCATGTCGCAAAAACGTAAGGAAATGTACTCTGATTGTGGTGGTGCATTTTGTACTCAGGTGTTATAAGTATTTTTTCCCTGCTACTCTTAGTACAGTCCACACCGCGCAACCTGAAAAACAGCTCGAATCCCACCCCGGTGTTTCAGCTTGCCCTGTGTGAACTGCACTCAGAGTAGCAGGGAAAAAATACTTAAGGAAATGTGTACACACTTTTTACAATTTCGGTTTCACCTTTAAGAGTTATTGAACGAGGCAAGCAAAGGGAAAGCCATACATTTGATTCACGAAAATATTTTATTGCTTGTCTCAAAAAAAAGATTTTTGGCAAAATTTAAGACTAATTCATCATGTAACTTTTTAGCTGATATGCATGCTAAGTACATGTACATGGGAACATGCAGCTAAAGTGTATCAAAACAAGAAGTGTAAATACAAATCCCGTTCATGCGTAGAAGGGACAGTAATTTAGCTTAAGTATACATTGTATTTCTTTATTAAAGGGATATGGCAATATAAAATTAGATTTTCGCATTTGAAAGAACTTTCAAAATTATATGTTAAACTCTTTTACCGTTTTTTTTTATATCTTGCTTAGTTCTTGAAATATTTTGACTTACTGTCGTTCCAATTGAAGTGTTCCTCAAATATTGTTTCAATACATTACCTCGGGCTGACCAATTCATTTCATCAAGTTCCTCGAAATATTCATACACTTCCTAGTATAATTGTAAACTTCCTGTTGAATAGTTTGAATGCACCAATCACCTTTGTTGTTTGTGCAACTAACCAATCATATATAGAAAGGAAGTGACCAGAAATGATCAAATACTTGGAATTGGCTCTTTCACAGGAAGTGTATGAATATCTCGAGGAACTTGATGAAATGAATTGGTCAGCCCGAGGTAATGTATTGAAACAATATTTGAGGAACACTTCAATTGGAACGACAGTAAAGCAATGAGATGTCGCCATCTTGGATTTTTGCAGATATTGCTTGAAAACAACTGAACCTTATGAGTTGAAAATTATTCTCTGGATACTCTTTGAAATAACAAAATATCTGCAAACATTTTAAACATTAACCACCAAGGGGTCCTTTTATATGGCTAACCCTACTTGTGGCGTCACCTAAAACCGGCATTAATGAGATAAAAAATAATCCAAGATGTCGGACATTCCATTGTTTTCAGTCATTGTATGTAAAAATATTTCCAGAACTATGCAAGATATTAAAAATCGGTAAAAAAATTTAACATATAATTTTAAAAGTTCTTACAAATGGGACAATAAACTTTTATATTGCCATATCCTTTTAAACTTTATTCCGTAATTTAAGGGACTGTATCTTGCATGGCTATTATTCTTACTGGCGAACTTTTATAACTTATTGATAGAAAGATTTAATGTGATAGAAAGATTTATTTGCATTAAATTGTTACCAGTGAAGTGCATCCTTTTCAGTTTTCATGTTTTTATATCTTGTGCATTTTGGCACTTTCAAAGGTGTGTTATATAGCACATTCAAAGGTGTGTTAAACTGGCACGTCTTTTAAGGTGTGTTGTAGTAGCACACTTTGTAAGGTGTGTTGTGTTAGCACATCTTTCAAGGGTGTTGTATTAGCACACCTTGTAAGGTGTGTTGTATTAGCACACCTTGTAAGGTGTGTTGTATTAGCACATCTTTCACTTACATTAGCACAATTAACACACCTTAAGTTATGCTAACCAACACACCTTGAGGTGTGCTACTATAACACACCATTGAGCAACAATAACACACCTTTGCGTGCTGCCTAACACACCTTTCTTAGTAACACACCTAAAGGTGTGTTGTTTTGGCGACAAGCCGCTAACACACCTTTTGTTGTGTTACTGTAGCACACCTTGGTGTGTTACCGTAGCACACCTTAAGGTGTGCTGTTTTGGCGACAGAAAAGGTGTGTTACTATAGCACACCTATTTTTAAGAGTGCGGTATATGATATCACTTGCGGAATTCCCCAAGGGTCAGTGCTAGGACCCCTCTTATTTCTTTTATACATCAATGATTTTCATAAGTGCTCTAATTTTTTCGATTTTCATCATTTTGCTGATGATTCAAATTTGTTTTGCAAAAATAGATGCTTACTTGAACTTGAAACCAATATAAATATATAATTAAGTAATATAGATACTTGATTATGTGCTAATAGGTTATCACTTAATGTTGAAAAATCAAACTTTCTTATATTTCATCCTTACCAAAAAAATATACTAACAGACATAAAACTTTCGGTAAGAAATAAAGTCATTAAACAAGTAGATCACATAAAGTATCTTGGTGTTTTTTTCGATCCTCATTTAACTTGGAAAAAACAAATTACGTTCATTTCAAAAAAGATTAAAAGAAGTATAGGAGTTTTGTCTAAACTTAGATATTATGTAGATAGCAACATTCTGGTTAATTTATATTATGCTTTAATTTACCCTTTTATAACATATGGTTTAATCATATGGGGTAATGCTTATTCCTCAACTGTCAAACCTTTAATTATACTCCAAAAAAAGGGTGTGCGTGTTATAACTTTCTCTAAATTTGATGCCCACTCTAGCTCACTTTTCAAACAGTTGAATATTATTAAGTTGACTGATCTTCTAAATCTACACGTGGTTCTTTTCATGTACAAATATCATAACAACTTGTTGCCACCAACGTTCAACAATTTCTTTACTCCTGTGTGCAATGTTTATTCTCAAAATACGAGGCTTGCTTCTAAATTAACATATATACTACCAAAAGCAAGAACAAATTTCGGAATTTTCAATATCAAATATCAAGGCGCTAAAATTTGGAATTCTTTACATGAATCATATAAAGACTTGCCGATTTCTCAAATTAAATATAAAATTAGAATCGATTTTCTTGGAAAGTATTGATTCAGTTTCCAACTCCAACTTTTTCTATATACGTTATCGGGAGTCATGCAGGACTCCTTTCTCGATCTTTTAAATATATTTGATATAGAACTATATATTGTCAATTTTCATAATTTTTTCGTCCTTTATTTGGTTTCCTGATATTTATATAGCCCTGTGGTTATTTCAGGGAGCCAGCTCTCTTTCAAATCTTCTCAAAAATTACAAAACAATTAGTCACAGATCACAAATATATTTTACTAATAATAATAATGTTAACTACTAGAAAATACATGCATGCAGAAACCCTCGCCTTACTGACAAAACATTATGTTTTCTGAATATTATGAAGAATTGCAAGTAGTTGTCATGGTAACACGATAATTTTAAGAATAGTTTTAAACCTGGTTTTAAAATTGAAAAATCCCCCCAAAATATCACTTTTAATAACAAAATGATCAATTTCCCAAACATATGTATGCCAGGTATGTTATTATACGTAATATAAGCATCAATTTAATGTAAAATTCAACCACAAACGCTTCGCAAAACGTTTTAAAATGTTCTCAAAACTAAACGGCCTTTTATCGAATTATCGGTAAACATTGTCATTGAGTTTGAAATAAGCTGATTTCAAATTCTCGCATGAAAATAACTTTGCTTTCCTCTTTATTTAAATACTTTAATATACAAAAGAAAAAGTAGTTAATAAAACTACACTGAAATTATATATGCTGTCTTTTTTCACTTATATACGCAATGATAGGTTTAGTTCGATATTCCCCGTATCGCCCACCACTATCAGTTATAAATATATCAATTATAAGACAAAAAATACATCAATATTTAAAACGACTATACCTTCGCTAACGTCGGCGACTTTGCTCTATTCTTTTAGACGTTTTTAGACGTTTTTGGCTCTCAGAATGGTTTTGAAATTTACAAAATCTTGCTAAAATACAACTTGCAAGAAATGAACTTTATCATATACTCAAAGGCCGTCGGGTTTTAAAACAATTATAAAATAAATATTTAAAACAAACTTACCTTTGTTAACGTCGGCTCCCTTCTTTTAGCCCATTCTTTAGTCTTTTCTTTCTTGAAATTTACAAAATCTTGCAAAAATGCGAGCAAAAATAAGATATATTTGCAAAAAATTTATCAATCATCAAATCAAGAAATGTTTGCTGTTTCGCTGTCGTCATGCAGTCGTTATAATGCAAACTGTAAATTGGACCAATCCGTGTCCGCTATTCATGACAGTCCGCCATATTTTTGAGATCAGTGAGGATGACCACCCACCGAAACTTCGTTGGTGAGCCACGCCCGCGATATTTGATGAACTTTAAACTTGGCTAATGCTTTCGTTTCCCCGGGTGTAAATAGCCGGGGGGAATTAGTACCCTCGCACGGCGCTTCGCGCCGTCGGCTCGGGGATAATTTAAATAATTTCTTTGTGTATATAAATTGCAATTTGAAAGGAGCAAATAAATCTTGTAAATCTTGTAAATCTTGAACACAATGAGACATTAGATCAATTTCACACCAAACTTAGAACAATATCAGAAACCTGTGAATTCGCAGACGTTGAATTTGAAATCGAAGAACAAATCATTATAGGCGGAAATTCATCAAAAATACGAAAGCGAGCACTGCGTGATCCTACATTTGACTTAAAATCAATGCTTTTAGAAGGACGTCGTGACGAGCAGAGCAAGTATCAAGCTGAACAAATCGAATCTAAAGAACAAACTGACGGTGAGGCTAATAAATTAGAACAAAAACCTAATAACGGTAATATTTCGAACAGTAGTAATGTTATTTGCAGAAATTG